AACAACCCTGGGTCAAAAATATTAGCAAAAAAGAAAAGTGTCTGAACTGAACATATATAGACTTTTATCTTGTCACTATTCCATAAACAACATGGCGTCACAATGATTTATACATCACTTTCATTTGTATTAGGTGTTATACATAATTTATAAATGATTTTAAATATACAGGAGGATGTACTAACTTATATCCAAATATTATGGCATTTTATGTAAGGCACTTGAGCATCCATGGATTCTCGTATCCTTGGAGGATCCCGGAACCAATTCTCCGCAAACACAAAAGGACAAATGTATTCTATCTGAATATGAGAGTCCGAGGTCTACAAATACCACATTTAAGAAGTCTTCCCTGTAAGTCACAAGGTTAAGCAGTGTACAATGCAAAATACAAATTTTTCTAACTCTGACTTAATCTCCAATGATATTTTCTTTAAATAAGCAACAAGTACAGTCCATTTGGTTTAAATATCACGAGCTTTTCCAGTTAGCAGACCACTCAAGGGTACAGATGATGAAATAATTGGTAGAATTATTAAGGTTTCTTTGTTTTTTCATGTGACCACTCTGTACAAGTCAAAGGAATATGCCAACAATAGCACAGCTTGCGTCATGCGTGTTACTAATATGACTGCCAATTAGTCCTGACACGGGAGCTTGGCAGGTCACCCAAAACCCAGTATTTTAGCACCTCAGGGGGTCAGCACTTGGACATTTCCATGACATTTCCTACTAAGCAATCAACTTCCCTTTTTTAAAGCAGAGCTTTTCCCACGAGTTATAGATGAAGCCCTGATCATCGAACCCAAGGCCACCTATCCCCATGTAGAACAGCCTTAGGTTTGTCGGTAATAACGTTCGGAAGCAGACTTTCAAAAATGTTTATTCTTACGTCTTCCTTTCCAAGGAGGAAATCTACCTCAAATGTTAAGATAGATACTCCAATCCCTGAGAGTTTTCTTCTATTATTGTATATTTTAAAACATTAGGAGAGGGCACTTCTCATGGGAAGTGAACTTTAGAGCTGCCAAAGACTGCTGATTGTCTCCAAATCTGTTACCCATGGATCCCAAGCTGGTTTAAGTCAGTTCTATTCCTAGTCATGACATAGGCAGCTGGGACAAACGCCATTCTAAGATATTTCTAGGACCCCTGGCAAGTGGTAATTCATCTAGAGATAGCCAGGCAGGCAACAGAAGGGCAGATGCAGAGAATGAGTCCCCTGGGAGCCCTCCACAGAGCAAGAGTCCTCAATCAGCCAGAGACTACATTCTCAGGGTGAAGCCCTTAATTTGTCACTCTCATATTCTCTGGCCATAAACCATCCTTTCAACCATTTTCACATAGGTCACTCTAAAAAGGTCATCAAGGTGTTCAAAATTTTCCTGACAAACTTTCAGTCCTCCCCCTATATGTCTCCTGCAGCTGAGCATGAAGAAAACCAGAGTGCATTAGCTTTCCTGTTACTGAGACAAAACACCTGACACCTGCAGCTTAAAGAAAAGTTTTAATTTTTTTAAAATGTATTTAAAAACGTATTGTATACCTAAAATGCACCAATAAGAGTTTTAATTTGACTACTAGTTTCAGAGGTTCCAGTTCATGGTTGGCTGGCTCCAAAGCAGGAACATCATGGAGGAATGCCATGATGGAGCAAAGCTGCTCACTTCGTGGCAGTCAGAAGGAGAGCACAGGGGAGGAGTGGCAGCAAGGGGTACACCCTTCAAAGGCACATCCCCAGTGACCCACTCCTTCAATCAGGCTCCTCTTCCTACAGCCAATTCAGCTATGAACATCAATGGATTAATCCATGGATGGGTACAGTGCTCCCAGGATTCAATCACCTCTCCAGGAATCTCTCAATCCAGGCAAACTGACAAGATCAATTGCATATAGTGTAGAGTATGAGCTTTGTATTTGTCTTCTTCATCTGTATCACTGGCCTTCAGAAAGAGCCAGGGCACAGGGCTCTCTCAAACCTGGCTTCTCCTTTCTTCTTTTTCTATCTTTAATTCCTTCTCGCTGTCTCTTCCTAACTCAAGGACAAAGGTCATAGAACAAGGCAAAAATGCAGAGACCATCAATGAAATAGTGTTTGACACCGGCTAAGTTACTAGCTCTTTCTGCCTCAGTTGCCTCACTTATACAAAAGAAGGATGTCTGCCACATCTGACTCAGATGGATGCTGTGAGGAGTGAAGGGGAGAAAGCATTCAAGATGTTTTAAATAAAACACACCATTCACCTGTTAGTGCTAATTTACACCACTGTGATCACCCCAAGGCACAGCATCAGCGTCCATCTTCGTAAGGGGACCATGTGACCAGCTGAGCAGGGATCAGACATCACATGGGACATTTGAAAAGGGTCTTTCAGGAGCATTCACTCTGCTCCCATTTAATCCTCTCAATTCTAGCAGCAAGGACATTCTCATGCCTTGTAACGGGGGAAACTGAGGCTTACAGAGGTCAGCACACTCGGTGAGGGCACAATGCTGCTGAAGACTAGAGCAGGGTTCGACACAGGCTTGGACGTTCCTTCTGGATCTCATGGGTATAAATATGGGAGAGCCACCCGGAACTAGCTGTAGTTTACCTCCGATGCACACCACAGGGAAGAAAGAGGTAGCCACCCTTTTCCTGGCCGGTCCCACACCTCCATGCCCCCTCTGCCTAGAAGTCAAATGGCAGCCCTGAGATAAACACCATGCTTTAATTTTACTTTCAACTCTCTGTCTATGAAGCAGAGTTCCCATTACTAACACAGGGAGTAGAAAGGCAGAGTTTCTTGGAATTAGCGCTCATGTGCTCCCTGACGTTTCCAGGGCGACCCTGTGGCGGTACACAGAGCACTCTGGGTAGGGAGGGGTGACTGGACAGATCCATGCTGGAGGCAGAGCACTAGATACGTGGCCAAGCAGAGCCCTGCATCCTGGGGATCCAGTGCGGGGGTTGTGATGGGGCAAGGCAGAGGCTAGGGTTGCAGTAGGTACCTCCTGTGGCAAAGAGACTCCTCTCTGCTCATGGGGGATCTGGAGTTTTGTGGAGTTCCCAGGGATGACTAATCTGAAATGTCTCCTATTAACCTAGTCCGACCTTCTAAAAATATGTAACGTTGCGTCCTGCCTGCTATTCTTGGTTCATGGAGGAGTCAATTTTTGGTTTACATTTTGAATGCTCATCTTCCCGAAGTTTCCAAAGTGCAGAAGGGATTTAATAAGCAGGCTGAAGGTGGCCTCTGCAGCCACCTTCTGTGCATCTAGATGTGCACTGAAAGACGCTGGTTCTGCTGCAGCCAGAGCTCACCATTCTTACTGGTCAAAAACCACCACTGGCCTACATTTACCACCTGATGATGACAAGGTCCTATTTCTCATCTGGCCATTGTCTTTGATGACACTAGAACCTGATAGCATCCAAAGGAAATAGACTGACCTGGGAAAAAGTGGGCACTGAGACCTAGTCAGAGATGAATGGGACCCTGTCCCTTGTCAGACTCCAGATCCACCTCTGCCTGGCTGGGGAACTTTGTACAAGTCACTTCCTTTCTGCAAAACTTAGAGTTAGAGGGTACAAGATTATTCTTCAAGCTACCTCTTGGTTCTGGCACTCTCTGCCCAGTGCTTTGGAGGTGGCAAAAGCTCATGAAATGCTTTAGAAGCCCAAACAACATCTGGTTGACCCTGGGCTATGTGGTTTTCATATCTGCCTTCTCTTTATTGATACTCTGTGTTGGGGTTGGGACCCAGGATGACTGAGGACAAACATCAAAGCTTGGGTAAAGGACATGTAGGATATTTAAAAAGAGGGGAAATGTTGGAAGTGAGAAAATATCAAGAACTCACCAGAGTGGAAAAGCTGCCCTGATACTTTCTAGGGAATGAAGTAGGTTGTGGATAAAGATGGTATGTGGCAAAAGAAGACTTCTAGGAATTCCAATGAGGCTGACCCTTGGTGAGGAAGATGGGCATGTACTGCAGTGATAAGTGTTAAGTTTGAGGCTGCCCCATAATTCCTGACACACAGATTATACAGTGTTCTTTTCCCAAGCATGGCAAGAGACAGAAGTCACCATGCAGTCACAGAAAAATATAGAATGACATGAAAAGAACGAGGCTCCTGGATTCCCAGTGCTGTTTTTGTGACCTACAAGTGTTGCAGGCTTGAACGGAAGTCATTTCTGAGGCTAGACTATCATAGTAATAGCTCTTCTCCTGCAGCTATCAGGAGGATAACATCCAAAGAGATAAAACATGTACAAAACCTTTATGAACATACAGATAACTAATGTCTTACCAAATTAGCTGACTACTCATTGCTATGATAAATCAATAAAAAGGCAGAACAAACACTCTACTTTTGACCAAAGGCAGGAAATCACTGTTTATACGTTGTTGTAGTTCTGCCCTACAGACCTGGATTAACCCCATTCTTTCACTGGACTTTGCTCATGAACAGGGGAGCAGTGCCTCTCACTGCTGAAGAGCAACTGCTTCTGCTTGCTAAAGAGCCCACCCATCCAGGACTCCACACATGACCTAACACTTGACTAGTGGCCCTTTCTAGTTTACCTTCTGAGATGATTCAACACCTCACGCTATGTTTAAATGGCCATAATGCTAACAAACCCAAGGATTCCTTTCTCTTCAATATGCTACTTTACAGAGAACACAAATCAATATCATAAGTAAATAGCCAGCCCAACTCTACCACCCCACAAATACAACTTTGGGGATTCACCTGTCCAGATCTCTCATTTAATAGAGGTGGACACAAGTGCCTTGGCCAAAGCCCCATCACTAGTAAATGGTAGTATCAGTCCCATAGTCCATCTTTCTCTTTGCTATATGACACATCACAGTCTCCATTTATTATGTTTAAAATTCAATTTTAAGATTCATATTGAGCAGCATTTGTCATCATCTCTATGTGAATTTCATAAAATGAATCCAAGCTCCCCCCAGAAGTGAGCTAAAATAGGAAATCTAGACCCAATTCTCACCTGTAAATTTGCACAAGGTGGTAAAACGTGTGTGGGGATCTCATTCTCAGAGCCCGCTGGCCCCACTGGCTTGTTCTTGACCCGAAAAGCTGTGGTGGTGGTGGCAGTGGTCGTCTGCACCGGGAGGGCTGGCTGCCACACAGTCACATCGGAGCCATTGCCAAAGGCTTGAATTGCATTTTCTGCAACAAAACAGGAGGGAATCCAATTTTAAAGTCAAGCAACAATTGTAACAAAATGCACACAGTCAGAGGGGCACACTAGAAATTCTGATTACAGGATTGGACTTCTCTGAACAAAACCCATTCATCCATCCATCCAATCCACACATACTAAGAATCAGTCTTCTGGGTCAGGTGCTCAAAAATCAATTCAGTCATTAAACACTAAGCTGGATGCTTAGCTATGTTCCAAGTGCAACAAATATTTATTGTGTTCCTATTTATGTGTCAGGTGCTGAGCAAGGTGCTTGCTCTGAAATACTCATCAGCCAAGCCCTTTGAAACCCAGCCTCAGACCTGTTACTTGGGATAGTAGCTGTGCCATTTTCCCAAGAAGGCCTTTATGCTTTGTCAAAATTCTAGACTCAAAGCAAATTAATTGGTGCCTTTTTCCTTAATACACCCCTAATAATGAGACTGAGGCAACTCAGTGGCATTCACACTAATTTGGCAGGCAAAAATGTAGCCAGTTTCTTTAAAACAAAAAAATCTACCCCAAACCTCATCAATATCTAGTGAACATTTAAGTAAGATTATTTTTTTCTTTTCTACTCCCAGTCTTCCAAAGAAAATCTGCATAATTAGATAGGAGCAGCCCTGTTTAAATGAAAAGTTTAAAATGTAAAACTTTTAAAGCTTATTATGATTTCATGGAATTAGATTGTTTTTATGGCAAGAGTAAATTGGTTGTGTGCTGTTCCCTCCCCAAAATGAATAAAAAACAGTTTTTAATCAGGTCTTCGGGGATTTGGCCTGGATTTAGAAATTTTTTATTTCATATTCATTGTATAAGAAATCAAACTCTTTCATTTGGGACCTGAATGTGCACATTGTTAATATACAACTCTTAGTTGGCATTTTTTTATATACAAGACAGAATAATTTAGACCTAATATTCCCCTTAGAAATGATATGTTATTCTAAAATTGTTATCCTTTAAGTTAGCAAATTGGAAGCTTGTTTTTTACAACTTTACATTTTGGGAGGTTATAAGAAACAGCTTCAAATGAATAGAAATGCTTTGTTTTTCACACTTCTTGCCATGTTACATGGCTTACCTGGTGGGTAGAATTTCAAGAAAGGGGCACATAGGGACCAGTTTCCTTAAATGAGCCAGGACACCAATAACAAACTCTCCTTTTTCTTGCTAAGTCACATAGCTTTAAGAGACTCGCCACTTATTGAAACTACCTATGTATTTCTCAGCGTGTATACCCTTCCCTGGTGAATTCAGTTGATCACTTGCTCACTCATTCATTGATTCATTCATTCAAACCGCTGTTCCGTGTGCTCAGCATACTGTAGCGAACAAAGACAGCAACAAAAGAGGCAGGTAAGGAAATCTATGACACATAGATGGTGAGAAATGTCCAGAGAAAAATGAAGCAAGAGGAAGCAGGAGGAGCACCTGGGTGCAAAGAGGCCAGTATTTAGTGGTCTGGGAAAGCTGGCCAGAGGAGGAGGCATCTGCATAAAGACTTGAGTGATGCAACTGATATTTGACTTTTCCTCAATCTTTTTCTTCTCTCTTGCCCTTACATCTGTTACATGTTTGATCTTAAAATAACTGTTTCCCACACACAAACTAGAAGTAAAGAATTGGTTATAGTTGTATTCATGGTAGGGGAATCTGGAGAGGTTTGGCCCAATCCAAAGGTAGTAGAATTGAGTTCTTAGTTTAATATCTCTTACAAGAGACTGAATTTATAACTCTGTATCTTTGGTGCTCTGTGCCCAAAGTATAATCCAAGTACAAAGGCCCTTGTTGCAGGCCAAATGCATTTATTTTTACTGAAAAGTCTTTAGCAATAAGATTCCAGACTATTCTCTCCTTTACCAAAATGTTATTAAGCAGGGATAACTTTAATTTCTCTATGAGTGCAAAGTTTTCCATCCAGTATGAGTAAAAATTTTTGGATAGTTACTCTATTGTCGTCGATATATTAAAACTTGTATTCTGGCAGAAGCGTGCAAGATACAAAAAGAGGATGTACATACATGTGTATGTGTGTGTCTTTATATGTCAATACCAAACAAAACTGAAATTCTTGGCATGCCCAATGTCTTAGCAAATGCCTCCATACTTGATGCTAATTTTGTGGGTTTGAATTTCACTTAAGCCAAAAGCTTGTTTGATTTTTAAGGGAACCAGAACAACTAATTTCAGCTACATTATTCAAATAACCTAGTGAACAAATGATTTAAGTCTCTCTTTTCTACAAACGAAACAATGAGCAGGTTTTATAGTAACATTCAAAAGTTGTTTTGTGTGTCTATGATAAGCATCATGGAGCAATTGTCACTTGAAGACAAGGCTCTCAGGAAAGTGGACGAACCATGATTCCTAAAGCTTTGGTCTACCCCTCCCACCAGGAAATCAGACCTTTTCTCTAATACTCAGAATTATGCTGTTGTCCAGCAGATCTTTCAGTATCATGCATGAACAAGACTTTCAGGAGACAGGGGGCAACACAAGGAACCAGGAGTTTGATCCTAACTCTGCTACATATGAACCATGTGAATACTGGCTTTTTACTCAGCTGTAAGGTGGATATAATAACATCTATGTCTCCTCCTAAGATTCATGTGCAGAGTCCAGAAAATGAGCTAATGTGTATTACAGTACCCTACAGTGTGAGTTTCAAGACATACAAGGCATTCCATACACTATGGCTGCCATGACGGTGAGTGGAATTTTCAAGCATCTCAGTCAGATCGTCACCTAGAGGGTGCTCCTCCAGATGCACGTGAGCCCGGGCAGCACACTTCCGGAGCCATCTGATAGACGCCCATTGTTCACATGTGTACATTTCTTTCTGTCTCTATCCCTTTGGGAAACATGTTTCTAAATTGCCTAAAGGACACTGCAGTAATAACTGACTCTGTTTCCAAGCAGAGGATCCCCCATCCCAGCCCTGCCCATCCCTGCCTTATCTCATCTCCTGAGATAACAGACATTCTAAGTTTCCTGACTGCATTTCTAATTTCCCCCTCTCCAGATTTGTTGCTTCTGCTCTGAGCCAACTCTGAAAATCCAAGGGGCTATTGGCGTTCACATTCTAACTTTTCCCGGAGGGTCCTTGGAGGCCTAGCCTCATCTCATTTGTTTGACCCTCTCACGTTGTATATTCTGCCCAGGTTTTCAGAACCTTGGGAACAGACTCTCTGCCGATTGCCAAGATCAAAATTTGATCTGCAGATGGAAGTGTTCTTTCCCACATAATGTACCCTCCGTCATTTGAAGCTTTCGCTCTCTCGGGGCTTTGGATTCATAATCTTGGCAGCACCCAGTTCATCACTCATGTGGTTCCCTGATACATCACGCAGCGTGGCCAAGAGGAGCGGAAGGCTGAAGTCGGGAAAAGGGAAGGAGAGAGAGTGGGGGGGAAGGGGAGAGGGAGGGGGGGAGGAGAGAAAGGGAGGGAGAGGGAGGGAGGGAGAGAGAGAGAGAGAGAGAGAGAACACAAAAACAAGAAGGTACACTTCAAGGTTGCCAAAGAAAACATGTGTTTGCATGCTTCTTCTTTCTTTCTTTTTTGAACTCACTAAGACATTTATTGTCCTTGAAGAAATTCAAAAACTTCAAGCACTCTTCCAGGTCATTCCCGCTGTTGAAGCAGTCACACCATGGGGCCACGCTGAGGCTGCTAGAGTCTATGTAGTTGGGGGTCATGACCGTGCCTAAGAAAGTACAAACAAGGTATTTAATTCCTGAGATGATGTGGACTTTTCCACAGAAAAGAAACAAATGTTCCTCTGACAACGGATGTGCCGTGGATAATTACAAACTCTGTGTTTGCTGAGTGGGAAATTATGTTAAGCAGCACATTTTCTTGGCAGTTTATCTTCAGCACATAAAATAATTTACACGTTTGCTTTAACAATTTTAAGAGAACTCCTTGAGTCACATTTACAGTATTTTTGCCCTGCACAAATGGTATGGATGTCATGGAGCAGGAGAGAATTAACTTAGAATGCATGAGTTGCCAAATCTCTTACATTTTCTTGAAAATGTCATTAATCTTCATAAATAGATGGCACTGCGTCTATATATCTTAAAAATCCTTTTAGGGCTTTGAATCCACTTCCCCCCAAATCAAATGGCTCCTTCAGAGTAACACAGGGAAGCTTGGGAGCCTCTGATGGATCCCTCACACCCGGAATGTATGTACATTTGGAACAGGGCCCCTGCTCACCAGATTCCCAACTGATTTGAATAGCCTTCCAAGTTGTGAAAGAATTGGAAACAAACACTGGAACTTCACTGAGCCAAGGGCTCCTAGAGTATTGTCTGTGGACCTTCCATAGTCCTTAAAGAAATGCCGGGTGGTCCCTCCTGCTACATTTTGTGGTATTCATGACTTTCCTGGTAAATTCTCAAATGGCACAAATACACAATGTAGTTACACTTAATACAGCCCAAATGTCTTCCCCTGGGTGGCTCACACCAGGCAGTGCCCACCACTGCCAATAAGCCTTCTGTTTTTAGGTATTTCAGTGGAAGTAAGAAGTAATAGGGGGTCAGTAATCCACAGGATGTATTTGGCTCACAAACAAAAACAAATTTTCGTAAGCTCCTCTGGGTCAAGGGGGTTTATTGTCTTTGTCCTAATTCCATCCTAACTTGAATAATATCCTATTACAACTCAGCATAAGAATTTTAAGCTACAATATCAAGAGAGCTCTAACTTAGTTGACAAAGTAATAGGCATCCCAAATATTGAGTGAGGAGATGATTTCAGGCAGCAGACGGGACCCCTGCCTTATAGAAGAAGTAGGAATAGGCTTTGTGCAAAACTCAGTTAGGTTCCAATGACCCAGGAACCAGTGTAGAGGGAGAGAGCCAGACCCACAAGCAAAATAAATGCTGGCCTGTAAAAGACATTGCCTCTACCTCTTTCTCCCTCCTTTCCACCTCCTCAGGCATGCAAGGGTTTGCCAAGCCTCAATTGCTAGCAGAGTTGGCAGTACCTCACCTTGGCCACTCACAGAGGAGTTAATGAGCTTGCACTCCTGGAAGGCTGCAGACTGGAGTATTAACAGTGACTAGTTATTGGAACAGGGCTGCGAGTTATTTAACATTTTCTTCTGTGAGCTTCTATGGTGTTATTTTTCTTTGAATTTTTTTTTAAACAATGAGTGCGCCTTAATGGCTTTTGTTAGTTTTATAATTCCCTATTTGGTAACTAACTTGGTAAGGAAAAGGAAAGCGTGACTGCAGATCTGGAGTACTGACTTAAGAAAGGTATACTCATTAATAAAATTGGGGGCAGGTAGGACTCAAGGGAGCACAGGTACCCTTACAAAAAAGACAGAACCAACAATACCACCACATTAAATACCATCACTGATTTTCCCAAAGGTTCCTGCCAAAGACATTCTGATGACAGGGTTTAGTCTGCGCTGTCATGCTGGGTGGGAGGTTCTTCGTCCTGCTGGTGACGTGTGTGACCCCGGCACAGACCGGGTAGGGAAGCGGGAACTGGCTGAGCCATCGCTCTCTGACAACTGTGATTCCTCTTGCCTTCCCCAGACTTCGCTGCACATCCCTTCTCAAATGCCAAAGACAACCGAGCGCCGCCAACACCGAAGCTTCTGCTGTCCCTGGTACCTAGGACACCCATCTTTCCTCCTGCCAGTCCCACTTCTCCAGAGGAACAAGCACGCCTCTCACTGGCTCTCTTCCCACACACTGGAGCCTCGCTTCACTGCACTGTTCTCTTGAATGCTGAGAACATGGTTCTCCCAGACTCTACAATCTCCAGGGACAGAAAATATTGCTTCTGCTATGACTTAGTATTTCCAGGGGGAAAAAATTAGCCTAAGGGTCCCCCTGCACTTAGGGAGTTGATTTACCAAGAACACAAATGGCAATAAGAACCTTGGTATTTAGGGTTTTTATTTCCAAAGGGTCATTTCTGGGAAACAGCTTTTTTGATTTCCCCAGATGGAATAACTTCCAAGTCCCTTCTCTCTAAAGTTCTCTAATACAATTAACTTTGTTTGAATTGCTCTCTTCTTCCATAACCAGGCTTTTATTTTTTCTGCTACTGTTCGGCGTGGTCAGCTCCCCAACTAAGAAACTTCACTCTTCACACTTGTGGTCTCCCTGCCCCTTAACAATCCTTGTTTCCTGCCTTTGTCTTTTGTGCATCCATTGTTCTGGTTTTTATTTTTCAAAAAAACAGGCAAATCCTAAAGAGCCTATTGTCAAAACCCCAGCACAGAAGGCTACTAGGAGATTTCGCATGTGCAGACATCATCTGGCTGCAAGGGAAGAGTGTGGGTATTTGTAAACCAGACTCTTCTCCCACCCTGCCTCCCCCTTCTTACCGATCAGCCCCGAGTAGGCCAGGAGGCAGTCTGCGTAGTTCTCCTTCAGACAGCTGCTGACAGACCTTGACTCTGGTTGGCAGTTGGTAAAAAAATCTGCAAGGCGAGATCTGCAATGGAAAAAGAGGGTGAAATGTGCTGAAAACATCCCAAGCTTCGGGATGGAAGGAGGATGCTAGAGAAAGAATGGTTAAGAGGCACAGTGGTAAAACTGGAAAGAGGAGTAACTTCTAATGTTCTATAGCACAGCATTACAAAATAGCTCCTAAAGAGGAACTTTGAATGTTCCCAACACAAGGAAATGATACATGTTTGAGGTCGTGAATATGCCAATTAAACAGATCTGATCATTATACATTGTGCGCCTGTCTTGCAATGTCACATAAATATGTATACAACATGTTGATTGTAAATAAAAAATATATTTAGAAGAAAAAATACTAAGTCTCTGGACAGGCATAACTTTTCTTTATTCCTTTGCTGACATCCCTTGCTCTGCACACATATACACAAAATAGAAATGAACTATTAAAATGTTGTCATCCTTTTTCTTATACAATCTCCCAAATGTCCCCTCCCCAAGCCCTCATCCACCTGCGTGTGTCTGCTTATTTGGAGAGAAATCTTCAGGGCCTGGAACTCAAGAAATCTAGAGGCTTTGAAGTTTCTATTCAATATTTATTTCTGACTAGACTTATTTGCATCTTTAGGAAATATGCTTCTCTACACACTCACCAGAGATCCACAGTGGGAAAATATTTACTTTATACAGAAACATGTCCCTGGCATCAAAATAGGCTCCTACAGCCATCTGCTCCCACAATTCCTACAGGCTTTAAGGATGCATATCTCTGCCTTCTAAGTCCACTCATTCCCCAGCCCAGTGCAGTGATTCACCTCAGCCCAGTAGCACTGAGGAGCCTACCTATGAAAAACCAGTGTGAAAAGCCAGAGGGAAGGGTAAGGTTGGCTGTGGGCAGTGGGCTCGTGGCTGGTCAAAGTGCAGCTCTGTCTGCGTCTTGGGAACTCTCCAGCGGCTGACTCAGTCCATCTGGAAGCCCTGGTCAGCGGTGAGGTTGCAGAGACGAAGAAGTGGAGAAAAGCCACAGATATGCCAGTCTGGGGAGGAAGAGAGCTCTCTGTGGCTAGCTGGCTGATTTTCAGACTGAAGAAGACATTGTTGGAGAAATTCTGAATGAGAACTGGGTGACCTCTGAGGTCATCTCAGCAGACAACAGCCCTGTTTCTATGGGAGAACACAATGGACTTCAGGAGAATTTAAATTATCCGGTAATTGCAGGAGACAATGGGAGGTTGTCTCAGTATTCTTCTGTCTTTAGCTCACCCCCGAGTTGTCTGCTGATACACCCAGTGCTTTTGTTACTTCTTTCCACCCAAGATATTGCACTTACTTAGCATACTTTATGATATTAACAAGCTTGGCTTAGTGAGGGAGATGTGTGGGGAATCACAAAAGATTTGTAAAGGGCTATAAGAAACACCTTCTATATCCCTTCCCTACAATTTTAACTAGAAGGGGCATTAAAAAGTCTGATAAGTGATCTAAGTCCACAGTGCACTGCACAAGCAGCATGGCATTCATGTGGCTCTCCCCTTGAATCCCGTAACCAGCTATCCCCACGCCTTCTTATCCGTGCCTATCTGGGGACCTCTGTATGTTCTGGGGGCCTGGCTCATCACAGTGAGCGCCCGAGGCTCGCCCTGGAAAGTCTGCTTTATTTGCTTTACATAGCATCTGAAACTTTTCAGAGAGCTCCCTTATAACACCTTCCAAGCAGGGCCAGGTGCTGAAGCTAAGTGGCTTGGCAAAATCTTCCTGATGAAGCTTGCATGTGAGTGTGTACATGAGCCTGGACCTCAACCATAGTCCATGCCTCACTGGTGTTTTCTGATTTTAACTGAACACACTGAAAGATACAAAACCTGGCTGTTTTCTATAGTCTGCTTAAAGGATTTATTTATTTTGGGGGGGAGGAATTCCCTAAAGGTGGCTCAGGCTTACTCAACTGGTTCTGATGGCATCCAGCTTGGATGGAGTGTTAATTTCAGAAGAATTTTCCTGGTCATGAAAGTTAATGATCTAGTAGTGCTGGGCGTCTAACTTTGCAAAGGCCAACCGTGGTCCAGGCAGCTGGAGCTCCAGCTCCACACACAACCTGGGCTGAGCTGATCTCTGATCAGGCAGCCGCTCATCCCCCGCCTGTCCCCCAGAGATGCATCTCCTGTTTCTCAGAGTCTCTGTAGCAGACTATGAACTCAAAACACTGAGGTGCGGATGACTGTCCTTCAGTGTAAGGCTAATGCCACCAGACTCATTTTGCTTAACAACCTCAGAATTGACTTACAATTGGGCTCTGGCATGAAAGGCTAATTGAGTCAGTCTGTTGCAGAAAGCATAGTCCTGATTGGGAGGATAAAACAAAACAGACTTTGAGCAGGACCCGGAAAGCTGCATTTTGAGAGGAGACTACAGGCAGAGATTCCAGACCTAACACCAGCACAGCCCATGGATGGGAAGAATTTCAAAGTAAGAGTGAGCACACAAGCTTACAACATTCACATTCCTGTGGATATATCACAATTGACACCCTCTTCCCATGCTGACACTTGGAGACAGAGTGGTTCCTGGAAGGTTGATAGCAATGTGCTCAATTTTGAGGACTTTTGCAGCTAGTTGACATCACAATGCTAACCTGATAGTGCCATGGTGGGAGTATTTACACCACTATAATCAGCAAATGTTGCAAAACAAGACTCTGTGTTGCTCTAAGAGTCAATTAACTATGAATTCACAGTGTTGTTAGAGAGCCACTGTGAGAGCCAACCCCACTGAAAAAGCATGTGTCATGCCTTGGGATTTGAGTCCCTGCCCTTCGAGGGCAGGCTTCCTCTTCTATTTCCTTGGTGCCAAATGAAATAGTGGAGTGGCACTGAACCTCCAGTCTTCAGTACTTTCTAAAGAAAGAAAAGCATCTCCCTCTGAGGATTCTTCCTTCCAGACATCTTCCCTTCCCATCACAGCCCCTTGTTACAGGACTTCATGCAAAGATTACATTTATTGACAAAACAGCTGTATTCTCCCCTGTCCCACTGACTGAATGATATCTCAAGCACTTATGATATAATGATGAAAAAGACCCCATATTTAAACTTAGGTAGTAACCAGTGATCTAGATGCCAAGAGAAACAAATAAAAGGATTATAATTATAATGGCTAGTTTCTTGTATAAGGTAAGAAACTCTGCTAATCTAAAAAAGAGCAAACATAAATGAAAAATTTAGTGATGTTAAATAGGTTTTATAAACTACATATTTTTTCCTGACAACTCTAATGAGGTAGGTACTACTATTTTATTATCCTAATTTTACAGATAAAGAAATCAAGTCTGTAAGGTTAGACTAGAGGAAAGCAGTAACAGTAGAACCAGGATTTAAAAACACACATTCTGACTCTTCATTTTTATGCCTTTAACTGTCCGTGGCTAGCTACCAAAGGCAATTTCAGGAAGGTCGTAATTTGGAGACTGAAATGGAAAGGACAGGGAGGCCTTGGCCAGGCAAAGGTGGAGGAGAGTACTGCAGGTTGAAGAAAGCAGCATACCATAATGACAAGCATAATCATCCCAGGGTGACAAGTATGGAGGGTTTTTGTACCAGGCATGGGTTTAAGTGTGTGACATGAATTCACACATCCAATCACACAACAACCTTATTAGGTGGTGATACCATCAATCCCGCTGTACAGATGAGGGACCTGTGGCACAGACAGTAAGTGACTCCTCCAGGTTGTAGCCACTTTCCATCTGCCTCCAGAGCCAGGGATCATCCTCAGTCATTGCCCTTAATGCCTTAATGCCTGTCAGGAGCACTGGCAGGTATTCCCCTTGATGGCCAGGCCATGGGATACTAATGGGTCTGATAGGAGGAGGTGTGGTGAGCCTCAAAGAACCTTGAATGACAGGTTTGGATTATGTCCCAACGATGGTGGGAACTCCCGAAGCACTTGAGACCAAGAAATAACACTGTCAAATTTTAGGAAGATTCACGGATCTCTCAGCTGTTCAGCAAAGATTTGTTTAGGACCTACTCTGTGCCTCATTGCTAGCGTAGCCATGGAGGAAGCAGGAAATGGCCAAAGGTGGGAGGGTGGCTTTCTAGGAGATGGCAGCTAGGAACGAGACCAAGGCAGTGAGAGCCAGAAGGAAAGGAGGGGAGGATGTGTGGAATGCTGGTGCTATGGTTTAGGTTTAAAATGTTCCCCCAAAGGCTCATGCGTTTGGACGGTGATTGGGTGGAACATGAGGACACCATATACATCAGTGGATTAATCTATTGATGAGTTCACCAGCTGAATTTGTTTGGGGGGGGCGCATGTTGGAGGTGGGTCCCTGGGAGCATGACTGGAAGGTATAGTCCTGTTCTCGTTCCCTCGCTCTCTCTCTCTCTCACCTCCCCCCTTTCTTGCTTGCCATGAGGTGAGGAGATTTCCTTCACCAGGCCCTCTGCCATGCCATTCTGGCCTTAAAACCAACTGACCATGTACTGAACCCTCTGAAACCAAGCACCAAAACAAACCTCTCCTCCTTTAAACTTCAGGTGTTAGCTATTTTTCCCAGAGATGAGAAAGAAGCTAATACAAGTAGGTTTCTCTAGAGTAGAAGGCAAAATGCAGGAAGGAGCTGGCAGCCTGAAGAAGGAATCAGAGTACAGACAACTCGGCAGGCAGAGGTGCTAAGAAGAAAGACAGGAAAGCACAGGCTGGCAAGGAAGGTGATGCAGTTCCTAGTGGCTGTGTTGAGTGCATAGTACTCTGAAAAGCCAAAAGTCTATAGGTTTTTAAAGCTCTGCCTCTCACATCTACCCAGTCACCAACCACTGCCTGACCACCAACTGTATGCACAGCCTGGGCAGCTCAGGACAGCCCTTGATGCACACACTTCCCCCTCCCACACTGGGTCATGAATCATACTGTAATTGGTTTCAGTGGCTTCCCTGCCTGCCATACTATAATTTAAACAAGAAATCTTAAATGTCCAGTGTGGGATTAACAAAGAAACTCTACAATTGAATTTCTTGTGGAGACATGAAA